TTGAACCAATCAAAGTCTCTTATTTCCTTCCTTTCCGCGAAATAAAAAACTCTGATTGGTTGATTTTTTTATGCCTGTTTTATGCGTTATGCAAGAGTCTGTGTTCCCCGCTTTAAGTTTCCTAAAGTTATGTTGCTCAAGTTATCAGTTTAGCTAAACGTTCTAGATGGAGTATTCGTAGAAACCATTCCATATTAAATTGATGACACTTAAAGTCGACTTTGTGCTGCTAAGATGCACTAACACGGTTCTAGTGCTGCTTTAGTGATGCTCTGACACGGTGCTGCCCTGACATGATGTTGCTCTGACATGGCAGAACTATACTGGATTGATGTGATCTAGTGCAGAATTATGATTGAAACTAATAATGTATATTACAATTAATGATAGTAAACATAAATATTTTCATTATCAAAAGTATTTATTTTTTATATAATTATATATAATTATATACTTTCTTGTTCGAGTATTCATTCACAATGTCCACATAATTTTTAACTTTTGGCCTTTCTTCTTTTATTACACATAACATATCTTCTATTTCATCATCGTTATTACTTATTTCTAATAATTCATTTAAATTCTAATAATTCATAATAAATAATTTTAGTCTTTCTTTATCTACCATTTTGTAATTTTTTGCTGCCTAACTAATTTTGTTTGTTTGAAACCAAACTGCACTAACAAAAGTGTCAGTGCAGCAATTCTTGTTTGATTCATTCGATTGATCCGAATACAAATTCAGCACTACATTCAGTCAGTTTTCATTTGCCGAATACACACTGATACAACTTGAAATGCGCACAACCTGAATGCGTGGCACCGAAAAAGTTCGCACTCAATCAGTCTACCGAATGTGCCATGAGAGTTAATCTTAATCAATGTTATTAAACTGCAGTTAAAACCAAAAATTGATTGAAATGGCCCTAAGAAAGAAAACAGAATGGCTGTGATTCGTCGTGTTGATTCCGTGAGTTCCGTTCCATTGTCAATTTCCCCTTTATGGGGCGGCACCCTTGCACACAGAACGCGTGCCGCGCGATGAAAGTTCGTTAACCAATTAGTGATGTGGACAAATGATATGCACTCGTAGAAAAAATATTGCTGCTGATTCAAAATGAGTTCTGAAAGCAAAGAAAATAATATTTTATGATGATGTTGGTAAAAATTTTGATGAAATTTTGGTAATTTTTTAATACAGTCATAAAAAAGGCCAAAAATATTTTTTCGACACAAAATCCAATTTATCTCGAAAAAATGCTACGCAAATTCTGTATGACCACATTCGGATTTAGCGCGCAAAAATAGACCCAGATGATAAAAAGTATTAAAAATTGGGTTATAAGATGTTTCTTGCATCTAAAAGACGACATCTAAAGATGTCTTATGTCACAATTTTAAACTTTATGTTATTTGGAAAACTACTATCTTTTAAAAAATCTTGCAAATTGTATAATTAATTACAATAAATAACTTGTACTTTAACTAATAAATTTCAAGATATTTATGATGTCAATATATATTGTACAATAATTAAAGAATGTTTTAATGTTTAAAAACATATATAATAGGATACATTTATAATAATCTCCATCTTTTCTAGACAATTTTGTGTAAAAAAACTTATACATGTTATTTTATAAAAACTTGAAATAAACTTTGATGGATCCAAAAAATTAATTTAAAAAATTTTCTATTACACAAATAATGTTTTCTTATCGTTATCAAGAGATTTTTCGATGTATCTTGAATAGTCACTAACAAGGAAAGGCTTCCAGATATCTTTCTCCGATTATAATAAAACTTAGTGGGTTTGTAGAAGGAATAAAAATATTTGATATGTATTTTTTTTATCAGCAACCAAACATGTTTAATGAGTAAAATCAGTCCTCGGAAATCAGCCAAATATTTATTGTTTTTTGGTTATAATTTCTGAACAAACTATAATAACGTAATAATTAATATACAAAGTGTACATGAATTTCGAAAGCTGTCTATTCGTATAAAAATTAACCAGGTATGCTCATCTATATTTCTAACATTTCCGAAATCATCAGTACAAATATAATCCTAGCGAATAGGTCTTCGCAATGTTACACCGGGGAATTTATAGAGACTAATATTTAAAAGACGACTCAAACAATTTGGCGTACAACGTCAGATTTTGATATTCTGTACTATATATACAGAATATAATATTGTAAATATGTACAGAATATAATATCGTAAATATGTAGAATATAATTTCATAAATATGTACAATATTTACGAAATTATGTGATTATGCTTCGTTCAAAAGTTATTTAAAAAATGAAAATTTAATCAATTTTCGAAGAATAATTTCATTCCTTAAATTTATTTAATTGCCAATAAAAAAATATGAATATTTTTATTCCATCTACAAATTCATCAAGTTTCATTAAAATCGGTGAGACTTGAGAGCCTTTCCTAGTAAGTAAGATATATACATTACATGACTCACAGTATGATCCATTTAAAATTTAAAAACCTTACATGTTGCAGCAATATTGCAAAGATTTTGCAGCGGTATTGCTTCTGTGCTATGGGATGCTGTGTATGGAATGCTATTCCTAATAAAAACTGGGTCGAAAAGTCCTCTATTATTGTGCAATTTTTGCAATAATTAATAAGATATTAATTTCTAAAAATTACCGAATAAACGGATAAATCGATAAATATACAAAACAATTTTAATTATCTTTCAATGTTCTTCGTGAAATATTTTGAAGACGTTTCTTAGAAAGAACTCTTAAAGTTGTCTTATCGATTTTAGACATTTTGTTCATTGAGTAACCAAAGAAAGATGTTGCGAAGATTGCAAAATGTAGAGAACTTTTCAACTCAGTTTTTTATTAGGAATAGCACTATATTAGTGTTATTTATTAATTATAATTAGAGTGTTATTTCAGATACACCCTGTATAGAGATCTTCTATACAAATTGCTCGCTGAATCTAGATTATCATGATAAGTTCGAAATTTTGATTCGATGTTTTTAATATGCCATTCGACTGTCATTCTGGCTTATTAAAAATTCTTAGAACTCCACATATTTAGGAGAATGAAAAAAATAAAAGAAATGATTTGTAACAAGTTTTTAACCTAATTCAAAATTCTATTTAAATATAAATAATAATATTGTAATAACAAGTACAAATAGTGAATAATCTTCCAAAAACTTAAATTCCCTTCGATTTTGTCGATTGGTATACTATACAAGTAGCTCAACGATGACAACTGGTAAAAATTTATTTTTGTAATGTAGAATTGAATGTAACATACATAACAAGAAATAATCTTGTCAAACATCACAGCGCAATAAAAATTTTTAAATTAAGAAGGCATTATTTTCTTAATTACATTACTGTTAGAAATGTAACCATGAGCTTCCTGTAAATGAAGCTCATAGTTATGAACGAAATTAAAAATAATGAATGATTTGACTGAAAATTAAGTTACAGTAATTATTTAAATATAATGAACATGTACATTAAATTTATGAAAAATACATTAAATTTTATGTATATAAATATACTTTTTAATTATAAATACATTAAATTTAATGTAATATCTTGAAATTAAGTTCAAATTGTGTAACTTAAAAGTTAATGATATTTAAGAATATTTCTAATAGTAATTCAAGCAATTAATTTTTTTAATACCTTTGATATCACGTATATTGTATCAGTGCTGATTACATATTTTGATAATGAGATAATTACATATATATGTACTTTGATAATATTGAGATATCGCCACTTTTAAATTTCAAGGTCTTGATTGATAATGAAAGATTATATCAAATTATTCGATGAATTGATTGGTACCATAGTTATTTATAATTTTGATAAAAAACTTTTTACGCTTTTAGTTATTTATGATGGTAACAATTTTGTAATTTAAATTATAATAAACTCAACGTTTTTTAAAACAAACTCTAATATTTCTCTTCTTTTACTATCACATAATAAGAATTAAAAAATAAATATTTAAATTAGAAGTTATAAACATTTAACTTAAAAAGCTATAATTTTTAAAATAATGTACTCATATAACACTGCATTGAATAGCTACAGTAAATTCCTATTCTAACGAACATCTCGAGAAATCAATTAAATTGCGAATCATTTTATGATCTTTTCATAGCATAAAATGATAAAAATTTTAATAACAAAACTTTTTTTTGTAATCGCTGTCTAATCAAGAATTACCTTGACTTACATCTTAACTAACATTTTATTTCTATATTCATAAATCTTTTTATCTATAATATATAGTATAAGTCATTCAGTTCTTGATGAAATCAAATGATAAGAACATTAAATTTTTGACAAAAATTTCAATTCCCTTACATTATTATAGTCTGTCATTTCCTTACATAAGCTCGTAAAACTTATCAATTTATATTTACGTAAAAATTTTTCATTGCTTGTAATCAAATCTAATGAAAGCAATAATTCTTTTAATAATTTTTATAATTCTCTCTTTCGAACTTTAATGAAAAATATATTTTTCCAAGACTATCGCAGTTTCGTATATATGAATATCTGAGACTAAAAGTCTTCCAACACACTTTTAATAAATAACACAAAAATTATAATAAATTTTATAATTTAAAACATATATTAATATAATAA